GCAAAGATATCGCTGTGGTCCTGTTTGTTGGTTTTGTTACAGTAACAGGAATTCAAAAACTACAAGTAACAATTACCCCCCCAGTTTGAATGTCTCTTTTCCCCACTTTCAGTTCAGTTCAGATCTTTACTGTCCCTGGAAGGGAATTTTGACTTTTAAAGGAACCGCTCAACTGTGTCTTTCTAAAACTAGGGCTTAACTTGCATACTTTATGTAACTGCGTTTGCTTTGATTTGGCAGAAATGTAGGTCATTTACTAAGCAACAGGGTTGTTTTTGTAGAATATAACCATCTTGGTTTTAGTTTTCAGAAGGAAATGCATTTGGATTCCTAGCAGATAGGACGGAGCAACTACTGTATAGGTGTAAGCTGTGAACTTGTTTATTTTTTTTGTTTTGATATGGGCTTCTACTCACTCTTGGAATCAGCCTCAAGTGGCTATTGAAGGAATTGCAGTTTTCTGGCACTCTATCCATAACAATTTTCAGCCTGTGAGGTTATTGCTCGGAAGTGGTTGATGACAAATTAAAAAACAAAAACAATGTTTGTGTCCCTTGTCCTGCTGTGCCCCCAAGACAGCAGATGGTGACAACCGCTTTCTGTCTTTGGCTTTTAATGCTAACCATGGGTGACAGAGCCTTTCCCCAGTGAATTAGTGTCAGAGCCAGAGCATCCATCCGTCCATCCATTAGTGAGCCTGTCAGCCTTACCTACAGCACACTGACACGTGTCCCCACCGTCCTAATCCGTCTTGCATAGTCGAACAGTCATCCCAGTAATTAGTTTAGTCAATTTTAGGTGTGTACCCATTAGTTTTTTTACATGGCTTTCACACTGCTGATTGTTAAACACCGTCGTGTTAAATGAACTGCTGTCTGTCCTCACACATTGTGCTTGTCTCCATTGTCACCGTGTTCTCAGAGGGGAAGAGGGAAGTCTGCACTGTAGAAGGAATTCTCTGTCCAAGCAATTCATCGTGATTTAGGATTGGAAAGGTGTTACAGCAGAATGGTTCGTCAATATTGAGACATTTTAGGGGATCGATCAGTGTCGGTAGTAAAGGTTGGTTGCAGTAAAGGTGCAGTTAGGCCGAAGTGTAGAAGTCCCAAAGATGCAATTTCCATTTATTGTATTTTATTTCACCAGGATAATCCAGTTTGTATTTGAAATCTTGCAGACCTCGTTTGCAGGCCTGTCCAACAGATTCCAGAGACTAGCTCTATGATGCTGAGGGCTGCTTTTGAGTGCGACATTTTTGCAGCATAAGATTTACTTGTATCTATCCTGTAACCATTCAGGACTTCTCGGTCATTGTGAGCAATTGCTCAAAAAGTGGGACTTCTGCTGTAGCGATAGAAACACTTGACACCCACCAGTTTGATTTTCAAACCTCAAATAAAGAGAGACATTATATTTACCTTGACAACAACCTTGGTCAGCTGTTTCAATTATTGTTTGCAGTGTGGTTTTGCAGCTCAGGAGTACACCTGGTTCAGTTGGCTTTTATCAAAAAATGGAAGCGCAATCAGATGTTCTAGTTAAGGGTGTTGTTTCAAGCAAGAAGCAGATGGTATGGTTATGAAGTTTCCTTTGGTTTTTTTTGTACAGCGGTGTCGCATTCACATGAGTAATTAAAAATCTGCTCTTTTTAGAGACCACTAACAACAATTTGAATACATCCAATCACATAGCTCATTTGACAAACAGGTACAATGAAATATGAATGTGGTGGCTATTTTAAACAACCCTAATATTTATCTAAATGAGTCACTGAGGGGCGAATTTGGGAACAAGTTCCTGACGTATCCACTGTGACTTTCCACTTTTCCTTTAATTGTCCAAACGGTTCCTAACCGAACTTTCAGTCAACCTAACAGGCTGAGAGCTGAGGCGGGTTTTAAGCCTCATGACAAACCGTTAGAGTGCGCCCACCTGTCAATTAGGTCAGCTACTCACCTTATTCTGAATAACACTTATCCTTCATAAATGGATGAGTTCCCCCAATACAGTGTGTGCTGATAAAGACATGAGCTAACCCCACCTATTTGTTTTTTGAACCAGGCTGTATACATGATAGTTTATTTAATAGGGTGTGTATGTGGCTTCCTGTGCTTCTGCAGCCAGCCTCAAGTGGACACTAGACGTACTGCAGGAATTTCCACTTTTGAATCGGCTTCATTTTTTCAAAACGGGAGGCTGCTGCTTGGATGTTACCTTGTGTCTACTGAAAAGAAGTCAAGCAAAAATAGAAAAAAACATTTTGGCTCCATTGAAAAATCCACATTGACAAATGGCTAAGCTGTTATTTAAATAGCAGTATCTCCCTGATTTATGTGCATCTTATAAGAGTGAATGAAGACTTTGTAAGGAAAACACATTCTACTGAAGCACATTAACCACAAACTTGTACTTCAATACTTTCAAACCATGCCTAAAAGTTGTCTGTACAGTTGATTGGTTGAAAAGTTTCCAGACAAGGTCCACTTTCAGTTTGGACACTTACTGTACAGCTGGAGGATCCATTAGTCCACAACAGCCTTTTTATATTTCACTCATTACTGTTACATGGCTAGCTTCTGACTAGAGTTTGATGCACTTCCAATACAGCCCGACAATGAAAAAAGGAACACGGCTTTTATTTCATTATCTCCTCTCTCTTCTCTTGTGCAGCCTCAGGCAGGACATGCTGCTTGTTATGCTGACCTTTCACTTAGTGTCTGTCTGAAGGCTCTCTAGTCAAAGGCAAAAGCCGGCGCACGACTCAAATGAGGCGTCATGCTGTCGAGTCAGTGAGATGCAGCCACTGAGGGGTCTTCACTTGACTCCGGCTTGTTCTTAGCAAACACACACCAAAAAATATAAAACCACTAGTGCAGCTTTCCTTACATCCGTCAGCATGTTTTCACTCTCATGGAATACAAAGCTGGCAGAAATGCGAGCTATGAAAACCACAGACGGCACTTCTTCCCTGTTATGGGAATTGATCGGGCTCAGGCGCTCTTTCTCAGAGCGTGATGCGTGATGCCGGCTGTGACACATGGGTGCTGAGTGTCAGGTTAATTGGGATGAACTGTTAATTGATTTCTAAGGGATTAGTGTGGTCTATAGAAGCCGGTGGGTTTGCTCTTTATCGACTTGAATGCATTAGACTGAGGAGACGATGATGGAGAAAAGAGAGGAGATAAAAGGAATTCAATGGAGACAGAGTTAATGGCTAAACTTATTTAAATATTAAAACCAGACCATTCTATTCAGGCATTTTATATTGTGATTCATCTAGACTAACATGAATATTTTCAGTGCTATTATTAGAAGTAGTAGTTGTACAGCCTAGAGGGATGTAGCTAGCTACCATTGAGGTTGTGTACTTGGCATCATGGGCAGATTATGATACAATGGGTATCAGCAACTAATTCTACTTTTATTTAGGAAAATGTTGCTTTAAAAACAGAATTTGGGAGAAGAAATTTGGTCTGTGGGCTTAAAACTTCATCTGGACGTCTCGATTTTCGTTATGATGTAGATGTAGAGAGGCCGTTTAAAACTTTCCCAGAGCTCTCTGACTCAGCTTATCCGCCATTATATCCAAACTGAGAAAAACTGTTACTGTATGGATGGATAGATGGATGGATGGACGGATAGGTGATTGGATGGATGGATGGATAGATGGATGAATGGATGGATAGGTGATTGGGTGGATGGATGGATGGATGAATGGACCGATGGATGGACCCACTTTATTGATCCCAAACTGGGAAATTGTGGCGTTACATCAGCAGGTTATCAGAGCAAATGAAGCACTGCAGAAATAAACTCTAACAGACTAAAAGAAGAAATAGTCGACCCAGAAATTCTGCTCATTCTGCTCTGATCCCACAAAGTTTCATAACATCAAATAATACAAGAAGAATGTAGGACAAATCAACTAAACCCATTCCACTTCGCAGTATAAATGAGAACGTTTTTGGACTGTGGGAGGAACCAGAGAGAATCCTTGCATGCACAGGAAGAACTTGCAAACTCCGTATAGTTAAGCCGTGTGTGTCCGACGGGGATTCAAACCAGGAACCTCCTTGCTGAGGCAACAGCGCTAACCACTGCACCACTAATCTCATATCCCTACATCTTAACTATTTCTCTATTGTCTTATGTAGCATCACAGTCCTAGAGGGACACCATTTCATCTCACTGTGTGCTTTTTGATCTGGTTGAAAGGACAATAAAGAGAACTTGACTATGCAGAGTTTAGTTGGTGTTTCGTCAATAATTGACCCATGAGCTCAGTACTTTTTAAAATCCTGGATATAGTCTTGTAAGCACTGTTTGCTCAAAGGTCTTCTACTCTGACAAAGCACATCGTTTTGGGAGGACAGAATATGCTACATGGTTGTTGTTTTTGTTTTAACCATGAGAATATTCATCTGCACTCGTATTAACTTCCAGCAGCTTCTCTTCAAGTGTATCGATATCTACTCCTGCCCTCAGAAACGAACACAGGCAGAGTCTTGATGGAAAAAAAGAAATTGGCCCTGCCTGTTATTTCCTCCCTCACACTCAGTTGTCTTAAATGGATCAGAAATCAACGAAGCATAAGCGACCATTCCCCCCCCCCGCCATCTCAACTCAGGCTTTTTCCTCTCATCTGCTTCCTTATCTATCGTCTTTTTCCTTCCATGTGCTCGATGCAGAGAAAGTGAACTTAAGGCCTGCGTGGCTTTCTTCTAACAGGCTGATTATTCAGGGGGTGATGTGGCCCTTGTGTGTTAATAATGCCCTGTGTGATGTTGCAAAGCCAGCGGCAGATACTTGAGAACCTCCATCTGTTCAAAAAAGACACGCAGGGTTAATTGATTTCAGTTACTGTCTGGGTTGAAAGTGCAAAAGCTGTTAGCCGGAGCAGACACCGATTTGGAAGGATTTCAAACACGCATCAAACTCCCCTTTGGTTTTAACGCTGTGTCTCCTAACCTCCTTCTTTTTCTTTTTTTTTTCTTGTACAGGAGTCGACTTCAAAATGAAAACATTACTAATAGATGGTATCAAAGTTCGGATACAGATATGGTAAGAGATCACCACATGGTTCAATATTAAAAAGCTTTGTGTACAATATTACCAAAATGTTATCAGATATTACACAACATCAGTTCTGTCTGACTTACAGAGCGGGTATTATGCATTCATCTATATATTAATACAGAAACACATTGCAGACGTGTATCATGGGAGGCAGACTTCTGTATGGAAGTCCAATACACATAAATGAATAAATATCAGATACAGAAGAAAGAGAAAAAAATACATCCAGTACATCAGGCGTGTAAACAAATACATGAAGAATGTCACAGAAGGGGCAAATCCTGTTCATTCATCTATGAGTGATGCTACAGGATCCCATCAGGGAGGAGACTGACTTATTGTCCATCTTTATAAAATCCCACAACCAGTCCCAAGAAGACCCCACCCCACACACACCTCCACCTCCATTTAATCTACTCAGAATCCATTCATAATCCCACCCAGGAAAACCACATTTATCCAGGCTGTCTTTTCCTTCAGATCATCTCATCAGTGGAATTTAATACCTCAACATCCTGTCATTCATTTAAATATCATATCTAAAAAAAACTTTTATTGAGAACCAACAATGTCAACACTGAGGCTGTACCTCCCCATGGTATCTTTCACTGTATCATGTCTTATGTTAGATATTATTTCTTCTAGTTACCCACATTGTATGTATATATCTGTGGGGGGTTTTCTACACCAATAAAGGTCTGTTAATGAGTTATTTTTAATTCTATGACGCCAAAGAACATCTGGCAAAGCGGACTGGGGACTAACTCGGGTACATTAACATCTGTCTGAATGTTATTTAATGTACACTAACACTCTTCAAAATAAACAAGATGCTGTTTCTGTCATTGTATGAGGTCAGACCCCCAATAAACAGAATCTTGTATTCTGCAAAATCATTTTTAAAACACTGCTTCTACTCAACTTAGTCCAACCTTTCAGTTCAAAATCATACTGTTGGTTTTATTTCATGTACATTTTTTTTAGTTTGGAGCTACATACAGTAGTTTAAATGTTTATTAAAATGACATTTAATATGTGTGAGGGTTATATTCTGAGTAGAGGGATTGGTACTCATTACCTTAGTTATGTATAAAATGTCTGATCTGCTGCCATGTTCATATTGTCTTAATAAAAGCTCACATATTTGACTGTTCATGTTTGTTAATACTTGTTGTTGTTGTTGTTTCAGGGACACTGCGGGCCAAGAAAGATACCAAACCATCACTAAGCAGTACTACAGACGAGCACAGGTATTGGCCCTAAAGTCTCCTCTGTTGACATGTATATATTGCATATTTCAAACCTATTGTTTCTCATGTCGACAAACCCTCTTTTCCCCCTTCTGTTGTGAGTAATTCTCCACAGTTAAATCCCCAGCACCACTCTGATATTGTTGTTTATGAAGTTAGCTTTTGTTTTGGGGTGGTAAAGAGGTTAAACTGGCTGAAATTTAATTTTCCATTTACCAGAAACAATAGGCAATACAATTGTAGGAAAAAGTGCCGTGTTCCTGTTTCGTTCTATTAAACAATTCAGCAAATCTCTCATCCAGGCGACGGCCTTCAATGTAACAGAAACGGCTGGTTGTCTGTGGTGGTCTGCTTTGTTTACTGGAATCACATCCAAATGTCCAAAATGTATTGATTTTAAAAGGCTGCTGTTAAGGATTAAAAAACGTCCAGAACATGATGAGGCAAAGCTTTTAAAAGGCTCTGCTTCTCCTCTGCTTTTGAACGTCTTTGAACCTCTCTCTTCAGGGAATCTTCCTGGTGTACGATATCACGAGTGAGCGATCCTTCCAGCACATCATGAAGTGGGCCAGTGATGTGGATGAGGTGAGTCACAGAGACAGGGGATTTAATGTCAACTCACATCATTTTCCCCCTGTATTGTACAAAGGGAAAAGGGACAAAGCCACCTCACCAGCATGACATGTTAAACAAATGTTTTTGCCCTTGCTGTGTTATCATGTTCCATCTTTATTTTAAACGCACAGAATGTAAAATCCACCACCAGGGGGCTCTCAATCAAAACAATAACAAAAGATGACGTCGAGGCTGGCAGAGAATCATGGGAGTGATTCTCTCTGCCACTCCCACCCCCTGATGAAAAACAAACTCCGACTACACCGTGTGGTCAAGACAAACGGGCGAAACTGATCTGAGGACGAGAATATGTTTACAGACGATGTGTCCCAAGTATCGTTCACATGACGTTTTTATCACAGCAGTAAATACAGCGACAGTACGCCAGCTTTCAGTAGCAATCCCCTCTTCTCTGTGTAGCGGTCTTTTGACGTAACATCTGGTGTTTCCACGGCAACGGTAACATATCGTGTCTGTCACGGCGGCCAACAACTATCAAATCTCAGCTTTCTCTGGCTTTGATACTGGGAATATTTGAGCTAATGTAAGTACTTAACAACAACAAACATATATACCATAGGTTTAGTCCATTTTTTATTAATTTAGATATTTTCTTGTAAAATTCGACACATTGTACCTTTAAGTTGCCGTCATATTTTATATCTTTAGTCATCAATATTGGAGAGGAACATTTCTTCCTCTTGCGGTCTCGTCTGCTCTGCTTCCTTCTGTCATTTCCCTCATGATATTATTCCATTAATTTATTCATTATGGGCCTAATTTCCTCCATGGGTCTGTCTGAATACGTACTCTATTGATCTTGGCACGCTTCCACCCCTTCATTTTTAATCTACTTCTCATTTCCTGAGCGCCGGCGTCCCTGTGTTTTCTCCTCTCTGCTTTCTCTTGACATTTGCAATCTCTCCCTCCCTCTCTCTCTCTCTCTCTTGATATCTCTTGTTTTCTTTATGTGATCACGACAAACCCCCGCAGTACGCCCCTGACAAGGTGCAGAAGATCCTCGTAGGGAACAAGTCAGATGAGGTGGACAAGAGGCAGGTGGCCACCGAGCAAGGACTCAAGGTGGGTCGAGCAACGGCGCTGTGTAGTGTTCAGTAATGTATCATAAGACCAGACAGACGTTTTGATCTGCATTGGGTTTAAAAGAAAAGCTTAAAGCTCCTGTGAGAGGTTTCAAACTGGTCGTGATACAGACTGAAGTAAAAACTGATGTCACTTTCTGACTTATAACAGCGAACACAATCATCAGGGACAAGAAAAGAAATCTGCATTGTCATTTTTAATGCCTGAAACCGCTGCAGCAGACAAGGTGATGAAGTGCTTATAGCAGAGGGATCAAATAATCAAAGAAATAAAAGATAGCGCTCCGTCCACAGAGGGCGCCAAAATCGACAAAAAAAAAAAAAAAAGTTGCTCTCACACCTTTGAATGGCGTTATTGTCATGCAGGTTTTTGACATCTTTCTCGCAAAATCTTGGTGCAATTTTCCTTTTTATTCTTTCTTTTCTATTTGTGAAATGAGGAGATTAATGCCACTTCCATCTCCACATTTACTATAGAGCTGAAGTGTATTAGTGCTTTTAACAGAGGGTATGCTAAACACAACTGCTGGAACTAAGTTAACTATAAAATAACTTTACACCTATGAACCCATGGGCAGGAAGAATTAAAAAAAAAAAAAAAAAAAAAGTAAAAAATGACATGACAGTTCAAACGATTAAAAACAAAAGTTAGCAACTTCACTAACTTTGACTTGCAAGAATGGAAATACAGATTTTCTTTGCACTGAAGGCTCTGCTCGAAGGATGTTCACTGGGTTAGCTGAGCAGCATGCCACAGCTTTCCAGCAAGCGCAGTGCTAATCCCCCTACAAGGGCTGAACCAAAGGCTAGCGGCAGAAAGGAGGCGGCTGGGGGCTTTGCCAGCAGCAGCAGCAGCAGCAGCAGCACAGAGTATTGGTGTAGCTGAGATCAGTGAGATGGAAGTTGTGTTTGAATGGATGGCCTTGATGTGAGATGTGAGTTTGTGATTAGAAGCAATGATTCAATCAGCCGGCTGTCGGGTCGTATGACAGCAAGAACTAACGCAAAGCTTCATTCAACTTCATTTAATGTAAAGATTCTAAACAGGAAGAAAAGGCTTGGACCATGGCCATGTCCAAAATCCAAATTGAGAATTTTAAATTTTCTAATTTTGAGTTGTAGAGTTATATCTAACTTTTCTACATATTTTAGGCTGTTCATTTTTTTTTTTTTTAAGTGTGACGTGAACCATGCCAGCTGTGTCCTCTTGCTTTAAAAACCTTATGCTAAGCTTAGTGAATTTCCTCCTGACTCACCCTGAGTGTTTCCCATGGGGCTGGGAGTGGAACTGATCTTTTTGGAAATGAGTTTTCCTTCTTCGGCTTCCGTTTGAGACCTTGGTAACAGGATTTCTTTCAGGCCCTTTTGGCCTGGTGTGTGGACACTGGTGTAAAAACATTTTACTGTTTCACTCCGACAGTCCTTTTGACACACCAGGTCCGATTTTTAGACTAATTCTTTATCTCCTGTTGCCTCACATTTTACAACAAAGCTTCACTTAAGTGTGTGCGGCCATCAGACCACACTGCTCCTGTGTGACAGGAAATGATTAGTCCGTTGTCTGTGTTCCAAAAAAAAAAAAAAAAGAGCAAAACAGAAATGATTTTTTTTTTTTTTTTTGTGTTTCTGTTATCTGTCCTGCAGCTGGCCAAGGCTTATGGAATGGACTTCTTTGAGACAAGTGCCTTCACGAACCATAATATAACAGAGGTGAGGGGATGTGGGTGACCACTTCTTTTAAATTCTTAATTTTAATAACCGTGCACAGAATAGAAACACTATAGTGGAAATAAATGACTTGGAAAAATAACAATGCATCCTCTGTCTCTTGCTTTTTGTTTTTCTTTATCCTCTTAGACTTTCACCCGATTGGCTGAACAGGTGCTGGCCGCCAATAAAAAGGACCTGGATCTCCTCCGGATGACTATGAACGACGAGATTAATCTTGCTGCTCTGGAGGAAGAGGAAGGACTCTGTGACGGCGCGGCGGGCGACCAGGGCAAAGCCTGCTGGTGTTAAAGAAAAGAGTTTAGGTTAATTACTTGTTATCACCAGACTCTGTGCGCACACACACACACACTGGGCAAACTTTGTCTCCTTTTTGTCATTCTCAGAAATAAAAAAGGGAAACATTTTTTCTGCAATATTGAAGCCAGCTCTGTCCTTCTGTCTTTCATGTATCAAGGTGAAACTGCCTTTATGTATACGCTGTTTGAAAGCAGTTTGAAGGACAAAGATGGAGACATCTTGCCACAAAGTTTATAAAGTGTACAGTGAAGTTACAATCTGATTGTGAAGGTTTATCTCAGAGGGACAGAGCTTTCATTGTCTGAGTGTGTTTTTTTTTTTTTTGTGAAACAAGATGCAAACTATCCATTTGAAAATCAGAAACCGACATACAGTTTGAAAAGGAGAGCTGGAATATAAGACTTTCCCATCTTTTCTTACAGACTTTGTACTGTTTCCTGACATCGAACATAAGGAATGAAATAGAGATGTGCAACACTGACCTGAGACTTTTCAAAATGTTGTGTTTCACAATTGTGTTCAGAGTGATCATCGGGCTGAGTGCCTTGAAAATCAAAAATATATCTGATAACATTTGGCCTTCAATCGCCCCTTTTGTGATTTCCTTTCTGTGGGCAGGGAGCACTGCTGCACATACAGCAATTGTCATTAAATGCAGTAGATGTGTAGTAAGATTTTGACCACAAGAGGGTGCTATATGCATTGCAAAAGCGGCACAAACAATGCTACTTCACTGTACATGTTTTGTTTATTTTTTATTTTTTTGCACCTGCAGTTGCGACTTTAAATATGAAAAAAATGATTCTCAATATGCAGACTTTTTTTTTTCTTTCATGTTAAATGCAAATGTTCTGCAGATTGTAGTACTTCGCATGTTAGACCACACAGACACTCTTGAGAGTTTGCAAGTAAAAGTTGACAATTGAGGGAAACATTGAGTGAAAATAATTTTGTTTCCCAGTAGCAAAAGTGAAGATATTTATCATTTTGTAGTCTTTGTTAAAACAGAAGATTTCCTCCAGTACAGATCATTTGCTAACCACATGTTTCATTGTACATATCAGGTTTATGAGGGCATTTAGGATTAACAAGAAACATGAAGATGAGTTTAATGTAGTTCCATTAGAGCAGTGGTTCTCAACTGGTCTAGTCTAAGGACCCACCACTAACTCCTTCATGAAAATCAGGACCCAAATTTCTGATATTTTTTCAACCAATCAGATTTATTGAATGACAAATAGTGCAGTTTGGACCTCAACTGGTACGAAACAGATGACGGAACAAAGAGAAGGAACAAAACCAACATGTTTGAAGAGTGCTTCATAGACTTTTTACACTTTTTTTTTTTTTTCCAGTCACATGTTCGCAACATGGCGACGCGACCCACTTTTGGGTCCCGACCCTCCAGTTGAGAACCACTGATTGCATTAGAGGGCTGTATAAAAAAAGTTCACAAAGTGATAGACAAGATGGTCGGAAATATAAATACGTCATTCTTTTTCTTTTCAAAATGTTTTGTACAGTCCGGTGAAGACTGCCCCCCCCCCTCCGTAGACTTAACGAAGAACAAGCAAGAGTTCTGCATGCGATCCACTCTTCTTTACTTTCTTTTATTGTAACTTCAGTGAAGTTAATCATCAACCGACTGTCTCACAAGTAAAGCATTTGACCAGAGTTGCCTGTAGGAGACAGAAAACAGAATGACCATCACTGGAAAAACTTTCTCTACTTATTTTTGCAACTTAGTAAATGCTACTCGAACAATTTCCAGTATGTGAAACGGCAGTCTGTTGTCCTGAAAGATGTCCTGGACTGAGCTCAAGATACACAATGTATCTGTGTTGTTCTCTTTATTTCTCTTTGAGACTCCTTCAACCTGTATTTGTGGAAATATATTTCATGCGACATGTTATTCTTGGAGGAAAAAAAAAAAAAAAAAGATGTCAGATGTTTATGAGTAAAGACTTGCAGATATATGAGTCACTGCCGGTGAGTCTTCTTGGCTGTGTACAGAATCTTCCTGATATGAGACATAGATGCAGTACGTATTGTAACAGTATGCTCAAGAGGTGAGCACTCGACGTCCCTGAATGGCGGGGGAAGATGATCTACATTACAAAGACACAATAATGCAACCTGTGTGCACCACATTCACACATTAACCATGACCTTCTCAGAGCTACACGTTCAGACATGATGGAGTATAAAGTGAGCACTGCTAAATGAAAGTACAGCATGTACCAGTAGCACAGTGACATCAGTGTGTCATGCTTATATAGATCACATTTAACAGGACAGATGTGATGTTATTACAAGTCAGAAAGTAATTTAGTAATGAAGACTATTCACTATTTTGACTTATTTGTACTTGTTTATAGAAATCGATTCTATTGAGGCTGTCTGTGAGGGTATGAGTTAAATGTAGCAGCTCACTGGGGATTGTCAGGTTTCCAAGCACATTCATATGTTACCTGCACGTATTTCAAATAAGAATCTAAGGAATTGCTTATTGGGTTTACACTCGATCAATGGGTGTTTGGAGCCTATCATGAAAATAAATAAAAAGCAAGTAGAAAGTGATCAACAAAACAACATTTTAATATGTATTGTATAAGATATACAATATATATGCAGAAAGAAATTGGCTTAAAATACATTAAATGTATTTATTGTTTCCCAGAGTTGGCATTACAGCATTCTTAATTAGAGCTAGATGACGTGCCTGAAATCAGTATCTGGACATTAATAAGATATTTTTTATATAATTCCAGTATAAAAGGATGTGCAATATGAAAGGAAAGTGGGTGAATCTTAATCATAATATGTATCTTGTGTATAGTAGAGGGAGTATACTATATAAAATGCAATTGATCTTTTTGGAGATAACATTGAAATACGTGGGATTTTGTGTTTATGACTTAGCCTGTGATATCTACAACATCAGGATACTTCTTCAGATCCTTCTTACTCTTCTAGGCAAATTTAGTCTCCTTATTTGCAGATTTGTAAGTGACAACTGTCTTTCCTGAGAAAGACTGTAAGGTGCAGCTAAAAAGAAAATCCTGAAATTAGCACTTATTTACACTTAAAGTTCACTCTTTTTTTACTCCTGTGTAATCGTATCTGATCAAGTATGTTGAGCCGGGAGCTTTGATGTGACCCAAGGCTGCAGCGTGTCATTGTCGTTGCCTACAATCTTTATTGGGCTGGTTGATTTATTTCATCTGTTTAGTTTTGGATCAATATTACATCTCAAGCTTTGCATGACCTTTGTCCAAAAAAACCTCTGAACTCAAGTTTTGAGGGGCTTTTTTGTAACTGATGTTATTCATAACTTGGCCACTAGATGACAGATTCAGCCCATTATCGTCTTCCACTTTTAGAGCGCTTAAATGTGATGTGGTATAAAGTTAAAAGCAGTTTCAATGGATCATAGAGAAGATTTATGACAGTAAAGATTGCCACTTGTTACCACAGAATCTAGTATTTGCCAAGTTTTGGTCACTTTTACAAAAATGAGTTATACTTTTAAAAGCCTAATGTCCGTTTTAATCCAAAAAACGCATTTAAAGTCCGGCAGATATTGCTTTAGTATAAAAGAAAAAATAATAAAAAAAATGTGTCATTAAGCCTCATTTGTGGGGTTTTCTCTGGAAGTGTTGTAGCAAGAAAAGCTGCGAAGCTTTTGTTCATCACCTCCTCTGAGTTGTTAATGTTGTGAACTCATTAAAGCTCTCAGAGAACATTAGCATAGAGATGAATATGCATGAGGAACTGTTGTCTGGTTGACAGATATGACAGCTCAGTATCTCTCACAGGGCTGAGTGACACACGGACACATGTACAGAATAACGAGTCCACTTTCATACCGACACATAGCATCCCCCCCCCCCACACACACACACACACACACACACATGGACACACATACAGCATGTTAACACAAGGAGAGAGTTCTGTGTTGTTGTTTTGAAGAGCAAAAACTCCCATGATCATCATCCTCATCATCATTTTCTGCAACTCAACCCTGCACCGCTCGACTTCAGGTCTTGCAGCTGCCTGAGAATTCAGCCATATGGTGCGTCGCCTGCATGTGTTTGTGTGTGTGTGTGTGCATGTCAACTTCTGTGAGTGTAAATGGGTGAAGGCTGGGAGTAATTGTGATGTATCTGTGCGTGGGAATGTGAGAAAGGAAGCAGGAAATTAACCCAGCTCTCTGATAAGAACAGGTAACAAATACAGAGAGGAGAGTTCATTCATTACACAGGAGACCGAGTCGAAACCCCTTGACCTTTACACCTTAGTGTGATTTGTGCAGTTATGTCAACATGAAGGTCCACTGGATACCTGAAAATACTCACATCAGAAAACTATATGTTTTGAAAGCCATACATAACAAATATCTCTTGTATCCCTTTACTATATATCCATATTTCCAGCCTAACATACGAGAGCTGATTTCACCTGATACGTTAATCTAGATGGCTTTATGCCAAGAACATCTGGCTGTAGGCTAGATATCTTGAAAACTATAGGCCTAGTTCATTCATTATTATAATTGTTTTAATGGTTCTCTCACTTGCTTTATTGTTGCTGTTAACATTTTTATGGAGATATTTTTTTATTAGCTACATATTTTAATCTCCATGAATCTTTTCTCTTGGTTAAAAAACTTGCAGATTTTAAATCCTTGTGATATTTGAAACTTAAGACAAGGAATATTTTTTTTGTTTTACAACACTTTCATAGAAATGACACTATAGCCTACGATAGCAAGCGAGAATAACATTACAATGCTAGCTACCTTGACACTACCATGTTCAGCTATGGCGTCACACTACCATTATAGCTAGCTAGACAGTAGGCTACTGTTATAGTTATCCTGACACGACCATATTAGCTATCTTATAAAGCTAGCACTACCATAGTAGCGAGCTTAACACAAGTTAGCTTGATATTATCATAAAAGTAGCTTGACACTACCATGCTAGCCTCTAAATGGTAACCTTAGTGTTGAGTGTTGTTTCTGTTTTAGCTGATAGATGTAGACTATTCCTTTATCAATTATAAAGGTTGCTACTTTATTCCTACTGGACAGCGAACTAAACTAAGGTTATCTTTACCAGTGAGTTATTTTGCTGAAAAACCTTTCATATGAATATGAAACAGGAGTGATTAATAATTAATTATAATAAGGAATCAATAAATAATTGATTAATTAATGAATAAAGGGGTATTCATTGGCTGAAACAGTTAAACTAAACTGTTATCTTAAATATTTATCTGAATTAACAAGACTTTCTGTGAGTTAGTAATTTCCTGGAAACATGTTGATGACCCGCTCTGACATGTCGGTCGTTACTTATAACCATCCAATTGTTTTATTTTATTTATCATCTCTCCCTCATTGATCACAGGATTTATAGGCTAGCAATTATCACCCTGTTTTTACTCACTATTGTCTGTTTATATGGTTTTTACATTCAGCACCATTGGCTCCTTTAAATGTAAATTGATATCCTAATAAGTCCCTCCTTTTAGCTTTCATGCTTACAGGAAACAAATAAATAAGCACTCTGTTACACTTGCTGGAAGCTTTAAATGCAGACTAATAGGCTCCTGCCTCTTCGGGAAGGGCTGCAAAGATGGAACTAAAACTTCTGATTTGCTATTTCACTCTAAAGTCACTTACTTTATTGTTGATAAAAACAATTGCGTTGATTTGTGCTGCTTTAAAGATCATGAGACATCAATGGCCCCACTCTTCCTCAAGTTGTTGACATCTCTGATTTGTGATCCTGA